ATCATCCGATTGTGATGAACATTTTCCCAAATTCGTCTTGTCTCTTTCGTATCAAATAAGAATAGTAACTTTGAAAATTTTAAGTGGGAATTTCACTACTAAATCTCTATATCTATTATACAATAATAGATAGATATCAGTTTCTTTACTTACATATTCACTTACAATACTTTAACAATTTTTTTTTAATTAGTTTATTTTGTTTATATAATTTAATAAACAAACAAAGTATGATCTAATTCTTGTTTCATGCACAATTGCACATAAATAAAAAATCAAAAGACAGAAGAAGAGTTCTGAAGGAGAGCCGCAGGGACGGATCCAGAAACTAAGAGTAGACTAGCCTAAAATTTTTACTCATTTTCATAAAAATCACATAATATTTTTTCTTCAAATATTTTACTGAAGTTGTGTTCAACGAACTTTTACATAATAAAATTCATCAACAATAGAATCTATACTTATACTATTAGTAAACTCCCGTTCGACGAATTTTTTAGCCTAAAGTTGTTGCTTCATGCGAATTTTTAAAAATTTCACAAGCCAAATATGTCCATTTATTTAAGCCAAACATGAGTTGAAATATATATTTTTATAAATGATCATTTTCACATTGTGTACCATGATCAACCATTCAAAAATAAACTTACAACAAATAAAAATTGTCTACCAAAAGTGCAAAATATGCAAAAAGAAATCTCCCATAGCAAACTAGAATTAAGAAATCCCTTCATATTTCTTTTCTCCTATCCAGAGTCCAAACTAAGCACTAAATCCAACAAACTAGAATTAAGAAATCCCTTCAAATTTATTTTTTTCTCTCCAGACCAAACACTCAATCCTGGATCTCACACAATAATCAAACCTCATAACACCATTTCTTCTCCATTTACAAACAAACAAGTGTCCCATGAATAAAACTAAAACAACTATCGAACAAAATTACAAAACATGACAACAAAAAAGACAAAAAAATCAGGTAAGGTACAAAAATATAGCAATATATAAGCAAAAGTGCAGCAAAAAACAATTATTAGTCAATTAGGTATGACAATGAATGCCTACCAGCCCACCAATTTGGATCGGGTTTTTGAAACAAATAAAATGAGAAGATGAAAAAGAAAGAGAATATGGAGAAGAGACAAATTATGGTTATTAAAAAAGATAGAGACGTCATGTATGTAAAAGAAAATCTGACGAAAGATTTGAATTGGAACCATCAATTTAGAAAAGACGTAAAAAAGTAAAAGATAATATACAGGAAATAAAATATTAGATATAAAAAATAAAAGATAAAAAATGATATGTTAAAATATAAATAGTTTATATATAGATGTATATTACGCTATTATTTTTAATGCCATTTGGACAATTGGGCTTGAATATTTTAATTGGGCTGGGCTAGGGATTTAAAAAGAAAGAAAAAGTAAAATAATTAATAGTTAAAGCAAGTAACAGGCCTGGGCTTCAGCCCAGCCCAGGCCTAATGTAAGTCCGTCCATGAAGAGAGGTACTATCCAAATTCTTCTATTTTTCATGCCTCTAAAACTTAGAATGGATTTTTGGCTTTAGAATTGCTGGTTGAATGTTCTTCCTCTCTTCACCAGATGGTTAAAGATTGAAGTCAGAGATGGTGTTAATACTAGAATTGATGATTTGAACTGGGTTCCCAATCTTTCTAAGGCAAAACCTGTTATGCTTGAGATTGCCAAAGATCATCTTATCTTTGTGAAAGAC